ATGGAGAAGTTGGGGGAGGGTACACAGGGGAGATGGTATCAGTTTTTAAAAGATTGGGTTTATGGAAGTGGTTCACACTGGTATTTCAGTTCCTGATTGGTCAAATAGCCAGCTCTATGTTCCCTCGCGGCATCGCTGGTTAAAGGAAATCTCCCTCTGACCGGAAGTTCCGGTACTCGTTTACATACTCTGTATCGATACGGATACTGGTATCGGTGCATCCCTAGTTGGCTCTGATGTAGCAGCAGGGGCACAATACACAAATATGTTTCCTGTAAGGATATTCTAGTTTACCTTGCACGTTGTTTTTCACAACATAAATTAATGTGCTCACATTCCTAAAGCATCATCTTTCAGCAAATGCACTGTTGATTATTTTTTCCTGATTCCTTGCCTGTCTTTTGCCAAAATGCTGTACTGAACGGGAAAATATATTTAAATTTTCACATACAGTGGTTTGCCATCGTAATGACTTTGATTACATTATCTTTAATACATGACCTTTAAATAATGGCATGCCATTCCACAGGTTAGTACAAATGATTACAATAGGGCTTTAAAAAGACACTTTGCCAAAGAAATAAGGGATGCAAAAAAGAAAATAAACACCTTGAAGCCTATGTTTAGGTTCTTAATACTTGGCCCAGCTACAAAACCCCCAATTTTTATTATTTCATAATTTAGTCTATTTAACTTATTCAAAGTCACTTTTAGCATTTATATCCATAAATTCAGCACTTTCAGATTCAGATTTTTTTTTGCCCCGTTCTGTTTTTTATTCAAATGTGCCACATGCTGTGACTTTTAAGAGAAATAAAACAGGAGAGTAAAATAAGGACTAGTATGGTACTACAAAAGTGGTACACATAAATACTTGTAATAAATGCCCTTTTTTCATACTTTATGTAAGTGTTCCAGTTTTGTGCCAATCCACCAGATTTAGCCGTTTTTCTAAAATCCAACCCTTAGGAACACGTTTTAAACGCTACATTACTGTTCTTCTAGTTTGCCAGCCTATATACAACTTCTTTATAAACCCCTGGAAAAAATTACGGGTAAACCTATTTATTTTCAAAATGCAGCGCAATTTGTTTTAAATTGCCCTAATTCAAATGCAGGTATGACAATTTGGCATATGCAGTATAAATAATATTAACCAGTTTTCAAACCCTCTCTCTTGTTTGAAGCTCTTGTGTTTTGACAAGTCTGCTTTTTATTTATGCAGATTCTTAATTCAAGAAAAATAACATATGCTGTGCTGGAAACAGCATCCCTGTATTGATCGTCAGTCAGTGTATTACATAGAACATAAATCATTCTCTTTCTCGGCACTCTCTAAATCAGCAGTGCATCCTCACTAGTACACATTTGTAAGTATACAGATGACCATTCTTAGCTTTTTTTTTCTGCCTTAACCCATAAGGACTCTTGTTCAGTGAGAACCGCAATGTCTAAGCTACATGCAAGATCATTGACTGCCCAGTACAAGAGCTGCTCCACAAGTTCTTGAACCTCACTATGAAGAAAAACTCCTGTAAAAATATAGTGGGGCTATTTTTGCACACAGTCCCCTTGAAGAAGTTTTGCACACTTTTTCCAGCAGTGCTAAAACTATTTGAATCCCGTCAATTAAAACAATTTGTGAAGGGTTACTCAATTCGTTCTTAATGTATCAATAATGCCACCGTCCTCCTAATATGAATTCCAGACAAGTTCTCTTTTAGATAAGAGACTTAAAAGTAGTTTAAAGGAACAGGATCAGTTGAGTAGATGGAATTTTGAAGCAGTTTAACCCAATATGCTCAGAGGCCACCACACCAACTGATGACACTATTTATGCTTCAAATTCTGTTAATGTCGTAATGTTGTTATAGTATGTCCTGGTGATGAATATTACCCAACTCCTTGTGTTACATGGCTTTACTGTAGCATAACCAGGCAAGGTCCAAGATCTGCTGGGTAAGCTGCACACAGTAGGACTTGTGACAGGGTGTGCCTTGCAGCAGCAGAGAATGTTATATGCTATCTCCTGGTGATAGTTTAGCCACGGATGAATTTACCATTAGGCACAGTAGGCTTGTGCCTACAGGTGGCGGGGATAAAAGAGGCAGCTTTACACGGTCTAGTTATTTTCCATAGTTTTTCCCCATCATCAGTAGAAATAGAGTCAAGTTCCATGGGTGTCATCTGCTGTGAAAATTGTGGGTGGGGTATTATATGAAATATAAGATATACTGGCAAAAGAAGTACAATTATATATGGCAAATCCATGGTCTTTTTATCTGGCCAATTCTATACCTGTCTATTTAAATGAGATCAGAAGGCTGCAGTCTTTCTTTGTGCTCTGATGTAGTTTGTTGGGTAGCAAACAAAACATGTCAGCATTCCTCTACCCAGCTGCTACTATTATACTACTGGCTGGCTCCTATGGGGTCACCTGGGTATACAAGACACCCTTTTAGAGGTTGCTGCATACAATGATCATCATGGTGCCTGCATTACTGCACCAAAGATTAGTGAGCGGGCTGAGTGCCTGAAGCATAACATGTTTGTACATTATGAGCTGTGTTGTGTAACTGTGAATCTGTGAATACAGAATCTATTTGGTGGATGCGGAGTGTAAGAGTGGTTTATACTGTTTGCAACAAATGGTTACAACAATTACTAGCAGCTTGTTTTCAGTATATAATGGAACTTTCTGTTTAGGTTTAGTCCACACAGTCGGTCTCCTAAAACGCTGTTGAGTTTTACATATTGTCAGACTGCAGCACATCACTAATTTGACCTCAGTTCCACCAATATACGCAAAAGAGAATTTCAATGTTTAGTTCATAATCAACATTCAATATTTGGGACACTGACTTTAATACTTAATAATATCATTTTTCATCCTAGCTTTAAATTTAGGAAGTTTAAAAATAATCACTAATAAATAATGATTAGTCTCTGAAAGCCATTAGAAAGATAACTGCCCATGCAATTGTGCATTAATTCAACCTGAACTCAAAAAGTGAAGATATGCCATATTATAATCATAATCTAGAAATGTTAATTGTGCACAAGCAGTAGGCTAAACCTTTTTTTCGTGACCGATTCCTGAAAAAAAACGGTGTACTTCCTGTGCCTTGAGCTTCATAGCTGGATCTACTTGATTCTGCTTTATCCATTTTGGGGATTTGTACTAGCTGCACCACTTCTGCTGCCTGCTAAAAATGTTCCTACCAGTCATCAGAGCATCAGGGGCAGTTTTTAAACAAGGAAACAAAGTCCTGCCTCTACTAAGATGGTTGCCTCAACACAGTAAGACATAGGGCAGAAGAAAGGCAATGCAGGTCAGTAATGGGGAATTAAATCAGCTGCATGGAGCCTATAGTCAATATCGATGACTAGACATTTTTTCTCTCCTTGCCTTTTTTTTTCCGGCAAAGCTTCCAAAGTTCCAGTCCTCAGTAATGGGGAAAAGATCAGATGGAGGGAACCTATAGTCAATACTGGTGACTAGGGCCTTTTCCCTCTGCATGCCTTTCTGGGAAAAGCTTCCATAGTTCAAGTCCTAAGTAAAGGGACAAAGGTCAGTTGGAGGGAGCCTGTAATCAATACTGATATTAGCAACCACAGTACAGGTGGAAGGTCAGCTGTAATGAGCCTACAGGCAATACTGTTTACTAGTCCATAGCTTAAGTTTTCCTGAGGTGAAGGTTAATAATAGTATAAAAACAGTTTCTTTGCTAGCACATGCTTTATTTTTTCGATCACATTGCCATATACTGTACAGCTTACTATACACTGTACTGTATCAAGAAGTCAAACAATAATGCTATAAGTAAAACGGAAAAGCCAATCAAAATAATGGAGGTGAAATATTTCTTCACCTTAATCTTTTTTTTCTTATTAGAACAGTCAATAAGGACCCATTTAAACACCATAGGTGCTGTGTTAATTGCACAATACCATGTGATTAATGCACACTAATACACAGTACACTTAGTGTATGATACTGCATGCGAGGTGTATTGCAATTCATTTGAATGACACCCAAATGCACCTCCCGCCACCGTGCACTGCAAAGCACAGTACCACTATACCTTGCAGTTTAAAAAAGCTCACTGTGAAACATGATTTTGCCGTATAGCATCCAGGAGGTTCATTGGGATATCATTCAAATATATAGCAATGGAATGCACCTAGCACACGGTAACACACGCCAGCGTGTGTTAAGTGAACGGTATTGTGTGATTAACTCAACTCTATAGTGTGAATAGGCCGTTAAACAAATCTAAGAAAAACATTTAAGGAACAATTGCATCCTAAGTACTAAGACAAAACAAAATACCACAGAAAACCAGTTTCAAAAAGCTTAATAGTTACCTATACCTAAATGTTTAATGCTCAAAGGGACGCAATCATCCAACAATTATTCCAGTCATTAACATGTACCCAGTACAGAACCAAGTTAACAACAAAGTTCTATCATTTTTAGTATATCAAAGATTAAAGATACCCTTTACTCCATTAGAGAAAACAGCCGCCAAAAGGCCTGTGTTGATGGGGTTTTTTTTGCTTCAAGCAGGTTTTTTATTCCCATACCAGTCTATGGAATGTAAAATCCACTTGAAGCAGGTCAAAAGAAGGTCAACTGCAGGTCGAATGCACATGTAAAACAAAACAGACTAAACAAACTAAATGTCAAACTGATGCCACCACCAAAAGCCTAAACCCGGGCCCTAATTTAGGCACTGTACTTGCAGCTGCTGTTCTTCAACACTGCAGAGAATGAAAGGCATCTTGATATACCCATTCATGTAGTACTCTTTTATGAAAACAGTTTTCATGTCTATCACATTTACCCCTAATATTTTATCTTTTTTCTAAGACACTGACATACATAAGCTGGTATTTTGTACAATAGAGATATACATCATGTGTGTAAAACTCTTCATTTTTTCTTCTTGAAACACCAATGCATTTAAATACTTGAGGCGATGGATATCCTTTCATTAGTTTTCTGCTTCAGTTAGGTGAATCCTAAAAGTATTAGAAATAAATAAGTCAATCAATGTACTGTTTTTAACTCATAATGAGCTGCTTTTCAAAAATCAAAGCTGAAATCAAAGTGTCAATAACTTTTCACTGCAATTAGCCTAAAGGTAATTATGTTATGGCTAACCCTCATCTATATAGCCAAAGAAAAATATAGGCTGAGTTATAGGACCAGTGTTTAGAAACCCATAACTGCAACAACCAATGTGCTGAGATTTAGGTGATACAGGACCATCACAAAATAAGAAACTAATGGGTAATACAAAGCACTGTCATCTACCAAATCCAGAAGGATTGCGTTTCCGTGGATTAAAATATGTAAAATCACTAATATGTGTATAGTAAGTTAACTGGAAATAAAAGACAACTAAAACATCTACAATAACTGAAATGAAGAATAAATTGGGAGTAGGACATTGTGGGCAATTATCAAATGTCTGCCTTAATCTTTTATAATGATTTCGGAAAGGTAATGAGAGTGTGATCTGAAATAATTCCAATTTTTGTGGGAGTGCAAAAGCACTGGAGATTTCATTTCAATTAACTACCTATGTATGGGTGCTATCTAGTCATAATAAATTGCCCATTTTTTTTAAAAGGTCCCAATAAATGTAATTCTATTTTCCTCAACATAGATAAGTTATAGAATTTTTCTAGTGCATGAAAGGTACCAGCTGTACAGCCTCGTAATATAACCAATGATTAGGAACACCTGAACCATTTTTCAAAGCAGGCTTATATATAAAAGATCACGTCAAACACATGTTTTTCAATTATTCAAGCAAGCTTATTTGAACCTGATTGAGCTGAGCTCAATCTCAGCTCAATAGAAAATGGGAAGAGACTAAGGCCTCATTCACACTGCCGTACAATACGCTGCGTATATGTGCGTATTGTCCCATATGCAAATAAACTGCTCTATACACATAGCTGCGTATGGAGCCGTATATTTGCATAGTGTAAAGATGCGCAAAAACAGAATGGACCCAAGATGCGTCCAGGCAGCGTATTTCAGCGTATTTTACGCACGTACAGTTCAATAAAATTTCTATTACAAATGATGCATTCTGGGATTGCATATAGTACACGTAAATACGTGCATATGTGCGTATATATACGCAATATACAATTTTGCTCTTCCATGTGTGCATGAGGCCCAAAACACAAAATTAATGTTTTGCAAGAATAGCTATGCATATAGCTGGAATCCCACCAAGCCATGAAATACAGCGAATAGACCGATGCCTAATAAACTGCCTAAATAACTGTCACCAATGAGCAAAATATAAAACATGGTTAGTTGTAAGAAAACATTGAAAAAATAAAATGTGTGCTCTCTCATGGTGGTAGTAGATCCCAGAAAAGCCCATTAGCAGCACTTGCAGGCAGGTGGCTGACCTGTGTCTGGGAGAATAAAAAGGTAAAAGGTAGGGATGTCCAGATACCAGTTCAGATACCAGTGCCGATACTTGGCATTTTCACGAGAACTACCAGGGTTGCAGCGGGGACCGGGCTCTGGCGCTCCACCACTGTCCTGAAATCATTAGTCTGTATTGTTTTAGAAAAACTGTCACATGACAAACAAAAATGTATCGGTACTGGTATCGGCGCATCCCTTTATTTATAAAAATGCATTAAAATAGAAATGTACAAATCCCAGGAGCTCCGTATGCTCCTTAAAAATGACAGCTGCCTCCTAACTTTTGAATTTTTCTCTAGTCTAGTCCTCGAGCTGGAAAAGTATCTGTACTTGTACGGAGTACATTACTTGGTATCTGAACATCCCTAGTAAAAGGTTTGTTGGCCACTATACTACTGCCTGTGCCATTCACCACTGGTGGGGTTAAAAAGAAGCCAGCTCCCAAAGCCTCTCCACAACGCATTTCTGATACAAGTGACAAAAAATGAAGATATGGGGAAGGGCAGGCAGCCTATACCTATAGGATTCAACACATAACATTCTGCTGACTGCCCTTACCCCCGACTGTAGAATTTTCTCTACTCCATTTTCTGCTGCCTGCTTTTCCCTCTGCTTTGTGGAAGGGTGGGCAGCCTTTTTAATTTTTTCATAGGGACAAAGTGGTGTAAATGCCTAGGACTTGTCAAGTTGAAATAGTGCTCGTGCCCATGTTTGCTAAATAAACAAATGAATAAATGTAAATCTGTACAAAAAAAAAAACCTTACCTACCTATGCTTCTGACTTTCTAAAAAATAAATGTAATAGAAGCATTGGCAGTAGGGGAGATAAATACATTGTACTTTTGTGCACACAACTTCACAACTACCCCACAAGTATGAGTTGTTGCGCTGCAAACAAGGCTGCTTTGCCTGTGTAAACAAGTGTACACTGCCAAACCCTGAAAACAAGGCCACAGTAAAGAAAGCTAAAATATACCTTCATAAAATAAAAATTCTGATTTGGGGAAGGATGGGCAGCCTACTGCTGGATGACTGTAAACTTAATTTTGACTGCTGCCTGCCCTTCCCCCTGGCCATAAGATTTCCACTTCTATTTGCTGCTGCTGCCTGACTTTCCCCGTGTTGTGTATGTGGGCATACGTTTTGACTCCAGCACCATCAGGAAATGAAGCAAAGACTTTCTTTGCATCACCTTCTCACCTTCTCAAAGTGCCACATTTTGGACTCCCAATGCGATGGTGGCGGTAGATTCCCCAATCTTACCCTTGTATCAGGAAGGGGGGAAATGTCCCCCATAAAGCTGCCCCAAATTTCCTCCTCCGCATTGCCAGCACCCCAAAGGTGCCCACACACCTTACGATAATCGCGGGAAATCGTACGATTATCGTAAGGTGTGTGGGAGCCGTGCGACCTCTGCTACTGTAAGGTCGCACGACTTTTATCTTAGGAACATGTTCGAAAACCCACCGAGAATCGTGCGATTTTCGGCGGGTGTGTAGCATGTTAGTAAGATAAAAGCCGGACGGACCAATGTTCGCAAGCGGGCCTCATCGCAAGTACGGTCTGCCCAAGATAGGCAGATCGTACGTTTTTTCAATTACCTTACAACCATCGCAACACAAAAGTCTTGCGATGGTTGTAAGGTGTGTGCCCAGCCCAACACTCCTCCTCACCTAAGGTTTGTGGAGCAGCCCTGCAGAGTACTGGTGCAAAGTAATGTGTTTTCTCAGGTGCTGTCTCTGGTGCTGTCAGTAACAAAAACAGTTCCCTACAGCTTTTAGTTCTGGGTGCGGCTGCTACTTCAATTCAGGCCTATTACCACTGAATACAAAACTAAAAAAAAACCTATGAAACATGCATATATGTGATGCCAGAATACGGTGTCCCTAACACTGACCGTGAGAAATGTACTGTTTTTTAACACCACAAGCATTTTAAAGGCATCTCCAAAGCATGTAACTGTAAGGATCCCTGTTTTTTTCTATATCCCCCTCCAAGTTACATAAAAATAAAAATGAGGACCTTCATTTCAGTGCACATAACTCTTTTTTTTAATTTTCTTTGCATTGGTACATGTTCCCCATGCACTTTGCTTGACATTCTATCCATTTGCCTTGAATTCGGCCAGAATTGGTTATCAAAATTCAACCCCATCCATAGACGTCATTGGGATTCAGATTAAAGTTTGCAATTTTAGTACTTTACAATAGGTTCTACGAATGGCCCAGAAACAGATCTACTAATCTTTACTGGGAAAATAGCCACTACCAGAAGTGAGAGAAAATGCTGCAACGGGAACTACTCCATTCACAATGTACTAAAAATTGGATTTTAATCACTGCTTGTGTGCCCGTTCCATTAATTTCCCCCTTTTCACTTCCACTTTTGGTTGGCCAATAACAAAATTAATTATTTCAATGTTTTTTTTTTAGGGAGTGATAATTGTGCCTTCCATAAACCAAAATGAAGAAGATCTAAATAATCAAAAATTTCGTACAAGAACATTATTGTCTTATTTCACTAATTATATTGTCTATAGCTTTAGAAAAAAAAACATTAAAAAATTAAATATGTAAAGTATACTTCAATAAAGCGATCCCACCACAAACATCAAAATCTGGCAAAGAAAACATTTAAATTGGCTCCAATATGTTGTTTTCATTTTTCTGTGTCCTTGAGAGGGTTCTCCACACCTGTATTTGGAAGGCAGGAGAGCAAAAAGTTCTTGTTAGTGGGGTGGACTGTGGTGTTTACAAAAGGGCTTCTAGAAGCTTTAGGGCTTCTAGAACTTCTTTCTGTAAAGTTACGGTTGTGTTAACCAGCCATACTGTCATGCATGGTGTATTGTTTTCAATATGGTCTATTCCCACTGATGCATTGTGCTGATACAAAAAAATAAAAATTTTAATGCTGCATTTTCTGGGTTCCTTGTGGTTTTCTATCCAAATCTATTAAAAGAGGTCCTTAAAAAAATGCACAAATTAGGCTGAAAATTAAAGCAATGTATGATACTGCACTTAATCTAAAAGGGAAATTCCTAGTTAGTGTAGCAGTGCTGCTGTACACTTAATTATGAGATGTTTCTTGTTACTCATTCTCATTTCTGACAAGAAATAAAAAGGTGGAAAAATAAGAGATTGGGTCTATAAAAAGACATATCAAGTATTTCTACTAGCTTTGGTCTGAAAGATGAGAAGCTTGAAGATAATGGACCTTGGGGTGGGAAATGATGAAAGCTTAGGCTTCACAGCTATATCAGCTCTGTCAGCATGACATCAGAAGAAGTCTATGGCTGGCAATTTATGGTGCAGGAAGCAATTCAAAAAGCTCAGTAGATTCTTACCAAAATAGACAGGGTTTTTAATGTGTATCTTTTATTGCCTATGTCTGCTGTTCATGTCTTCATAAAACAATGAATGGCATCAAAACAATAAAATTTCCAATAATACTGAAATTCTTTACAGGTTACACCCAGATCCTCATATGTTTGTGGTGAAATGGTTGACAGTTTTCTTGCTGCCATTGTTATCGCAATATAATGTGGAGTCAGGCTGATTTTTGCTGCTTAAAAGGAAAACTATGAGGTGATTGATTTACACTCATCCTCATAGATAGAGCTGACGTGCGACATTGGAACTGTCACACTCCGGCTCTATTTATCGGGCAGTGAACACATACCGTCGCTCGCTCACTTTCAGATCATCTCCCTACAGAGAGCGGTGACCGTCAGTCACTGCTCCCCGCAGGGATTCCCCCCCCCCCCTCTCCGATCCTCCAGCTCTGACTAGAGGAACAGATGGGGAGGGGGTGGGCACAGCTGACTCTGCCTCTAGATAGGCAGAGCCCGCTGTCAATCAGCCAGCTGGGTGAATCTCGACAGTATTATCAGGATCCGTTATATACTGAGCTTTGGGTCACGGGAAGAGGTTATTATATTTCCTCCCGTGACCCTAAAGAGAACTATGGGATAAAAAGGTTACCCCATAGTTCTTTTTTAAGATCACAAAAAATTACATAAGCATGTTTTTTTAAGGCAGACATGAGCTAGGCCTTCAAACTGTGATCCAAGTCAAGGCCAAATATGTGCCCCCACATATGTTTAGTGAGTATTTTTTATTTAAAAGAACTATGGTGACTACACATTCCATTAGAAAAACTGAGCAACAGGCAGACCTAAATGCTAATTGAATTACAGCTCGCAATACGATTCGTGTCATTTGCTAATTTAAACAGCTCTGCTAAATATACTTTCCTGTTTAAAATTAACCGAGAGGCCGCAACTAAATTATGAAACAATATGACCAATTTGATACTAATGCACTTTTGTAAATGAAGATATTTTCCATATGCTATGTATATAAACAAAAAACGTATTTGCTTACAGTGTAGTTTGTTCCAAAGTAGCTGTTCAACTTTTCTGTGTTTAAGAGCAAGACCAAGTTTATTATGAAATACTCCTCTGTCTCTCTCATCCAGTTAAGTTCAGCACACAGCTTCCCCATAGAGTCTTTGTATTCAAAGTGAAAGCTTTTTCCCATGAAGTCATAAAGGGTCTCTGAGCATTTGCTTTCTTGTAGCTGTACAGGAGCACAGAAGCACCAATACGGAGTTTCCAACGCATCCAAAACGGTGACATCCATCATGAAACAGTTCTGCAGAAGAAGGTAATTTTTAGAAAGTGATATACTGTATATAATAAAAACAGTTTGAAAAATACATTTCTTAAGTTAGTTATAAAAAAATATATAAAATCAATTATCTAGCCCTATTAAATATATGTATATTCAGCATTACCTAAAGCATATCTAACCCTAAGAACATAAATGTAATATATTGCAGATTACCAGTCCTCTAGATGTAAAGATTGCCTTAGTTTCCTTTTTTCAGGCTTTTTTTCCTTTATTTTCACCTGGTGATTTTGTCAGGCTACACACTTCTTAGGGTGACAATGCTAACGCACTCTACTGTATCTATGAAGCAGCAGTGTAGTCATCATAGGCTTATTTTCTGATGTAAAATGCAACCACCTCACCCATTTCTCATCTCTATTAGAGAGCGAGGAATTGTTTTGTAGTTCACAGAAGATAGCTAGACTTGGCTTTTCTAGCAGAATCATCAGGAATATTTATATACTCACAGAAAATTTGCTTAGCCAAACAAATAAAAGAAAACGAATGGAGCCACCATATTTAAGAAATGGTAAGCTGCAATATATATATATATATAT